GTATATTGCACTGACTGACATTTCTTTGTATGTATGGATCTCTTGGGTTGTTACCAACACCTGGTGAAAATTTCATGTCCTTAGCACCTCTAGTAATATATTTACTGAGAAAAATGGTGACGTGTTCAATATTTATTTTACCTGCTGTAAATTACAACTGTTTTACAACTGATTTAAAAATTTGAGCCCAAAAGCGCAAACCTTGTACGATACCGGACTTCATGAAAAATAATTAGTAGTAACAGGCCACAAGATCAAGATGAAAATACAGAATATAAAACAACAGACTGTGTTCWAGCACGAAGAGTAAAACCATTTATTACTTTAAAAACTTTAAAATTAACAAATAAAATAAAAAAACTGAACATCAGTAAATCAGTGTAAAGACATATGCTCAGCACACACCTGAACTTAATGTTCGACTGAGAAAACAGCAACAAAATAAGGAAAGATTTGTTTTACAAACCTAAAAATTGATAAAAATGTGCTTTTATTTGTTTATTTTTATTTCCTTCTCAGTTCATTTTGTCTTTTGACTCTGATGAAATGTCCCTCTGACTAAGTTTTGTTGGAAACAAACCCAGTGTTCACAAAATGCTCCATTATTACACTCAGTAAGACAGAAAACTGCAGCGTTTCAGCAAAATACATCAGCTACACAACTAAAGCTTTGACTGTTATACTGAGAGATACTGCAGCACTTTCTGTCAGTCTGTTTGTGATATAATCAGAGATAATCAATGGTTAGGTTGACTTTTTTCAATAAGAATAGTTTCATCCAGTTGAAACATGATCATTTTTATTTTTAGCCTTACGTCTACTTTACATGAAATATCCAGTTCACATAAAACATAAAAAAAAAAYCTTTGACTCCAATGCCACAAAGTATGTAAACAAAACTGTGCAGAATAGACCACAATCTATGATCAGAGCTACACAATGTTTCAAACATGAACAGGACAAAGAGGGATGTCTTACAACCAAACATTTATATCAGCTCAGTGTCTCACTGTCATTAAAACACTGAAGCGTTTCAGCACCAAGCATATTACACATCTTCAACTATTCCTTTGATGAAGTGTAATAAAAAAATACATCAATAAACAGACATTCACCATTTTCTTCAACTGATAACAATGGAAACTATCTAAGATCAAAGTTATGATCAAACGCTCAAATGTTTGTGAGTTTGTTTGATCATTTCTAATCATTTATAATGACTTTTGTTTCCCTTAAATGCTGACAGGTTTGGGGTGGGAGTCATTCCTAATAACTAATTTATTTCATTTCAGTTTTTTGTTTTGGTTTGTTTTTCTTTTGCTCTGATCACACATAAATGACAAAAACAATGAAACACAACAAAAAGTTACTTTTAGTACCTACAAAATAAATCACTTTCATTTCAGAGCACTGCAGTGTAATTTTAACCTCTGTATGGTTAAAGCTGCTGTATGTAGTTTCTTGAGTACCCAAAAACTTAGAAAATTTTGAACAGAAACAACCTTGTAGTCCCTCCCCCTGCTCTCAGCTCCCCTTCCTAGGCTCCTCCCCCACAGCAGGGCCCAGAGCCGTGAGCGCGCACCTTGTAAACAGGAAGTGATCTCACCGTAACAC